AAAAAAAAAAAAAAAAAAAAAGAAATCTCTTTTTATACTTTGAGAGATGATGATGATGCTATCACTACGCCGTGCATGGAATAAATCTCGTATGGCTTTATGGGAGGTTTTCTTCCCAGAAAGATTCATTTCATACATTGATCCCTTTGTTCGTCTCATCTTTACACTTTATCATCTTCCCTTCATTGCCCTTATAGTGGCTATTACCCATAGTGAACTGGAACGTATTGTTTGGGTTCTCATTGTTCCCGTCGCCCAAGAAATGGAGAAACAGCCTTACAATTCCTCTCATATGGAAACTTTCCTTCTTGGATTGTATGATATCTTTCGTAGTATTTCACCATTCTTTACACTTGGTTTGGCTGTGGCTACTGTGGGGCACAAGGTACTTAATTCTGTGGTGGAGACCATGGTAGATGCGCATTGTACACATTGTGGAAAACATTATCCACTCTTGGCAGCTAGATTAGCATTTGTAATGGAAAATAAAGAAAGATATACAATATTCCTGGTGGTATTCTTTCTATTAGTATCTATAGTACTTTCTATTCTTCATACCAATATACTTTTAGTTTGGACAGTACGTGAACCTATTGTCATGACTAGTTTATGGTGTATTATTGCTGTACAATTTTGTTTTGTTGTGGGATCCTTTTTAAGTCATAAATCCCTACCTCCTAAAGTATTAGAATGGAGAGAATTAGATGTTGTTGGGGATGTTACCTTTACAAGATATATTTGTGATGTTTGGTGGAGAACGTATATTCAATATATGCGGTATATTGCTGTAGAGATGGTTATCGCTATTGCAGGAATATCTCTTTTTTATAGAGGTCCTTTATATGTTCTTTCATCTTCTTTGGAACTTGCCATGTATTTAAATCTACCTCTTCTTGTAGGACATGCTGTATTATCTATATCTACTACTATTATGAATCTTCAATGTTCATTTCGTTGGTTACGGCGACACTTTGATGTTATACTTCCCGTTTTATTACTTGCTTTTCCCTATCAAATTATGCTTTTACAATCTATGTTCTTTTTTCGTAATCATTGGAGAACTGTTTTTATACTTACAGGGGTAAGTGTCCTTCTTTGTGGTAGAGCCGTGGATCTTGTACGAGAGTTTGATGTCAGTAAATACGGTTCTGTTCATTGGAAACGGGTAAAGGATGAGTCACTTTTACCACCTTATCTTTCTATTCTATTGGAAGATGCGTATGAGCGAAAAACAACACAGGTGGGAGTGGTAAGTCTTGATATGTTTATAGATATGAAAGGGATGATGATTTATAGTAAAGATGAGGAAATACCTGTAAAACGCATTCAGGTTCATCCCTATGGAAATGGAAAATCTTTTCTTCGTAATCCACGTTTTTATACTTATACAGTTCCACGTTTATTATCTGTTCAAAGTTCAGGATATATTGCTGGTGAATATTTTCGTAAAGCACGTTCATTTCTTAGACATGTTACTTCTCTTATGTTAATATTATTTACAGGTTTAGTTTGTGGAATGCTTTTACAAGCCGCTTTTCCACAACTTCGTCCCTGGCCTGTTCGAATTTATTCTACTGAAAATAAAGATGCATTATTATTGGATCATATTGTAGTTCGTATGGGTTTATTTTCTTCTTCTTCTTCTTCCTCTTCTCAAAAGGGGGCAATGATTTCAAATTTACCTTATATCTCTTCTTCAAGAGAATCACCATTTTCTGCCTTTATGTGGAATAATGTTAATAATACTAATAATATTAGTAATAATATTAGTAATAATACTAATAATATTACATTATTAGGGGATGATTGGTATCCTTCTTTATGTACAAGAAGTTTTTATGATGTTTCTATATGGGAAATTTCTCTCCTTGCGTTGGCACCGTATTTATTTTATGAGGATGATGTAAAAGAATTATTACAATTTATGTCTATGCATATGGGAACAGATTGGAGAATTCGTGAACGGCATGGTACAGATTGTATATCCACAGATTCATCTAGAAAACCAACTGGTTGGGATGGATATTATGAATTTTATAGTGCTAAGAATGATCTCTCTGTTATTTCTATACGTGGAACGGATATGACATCTTTTAAAGATCTTCTTATTGATGTGAATATCTATTTTGATGTTGTTCTCTATCATATATTATCTAATATTGTTCCAGGTGCGGTTATTTTACCTTCTGAATTTGTAGCCGATCTTCTTCGTTTGGCTTCTATACCCGCATCATCTAAACAACGAATAGAAAGTTGGAAATCTCTTACTAAAAGTCAAAATTCAAGTCTTCGTTTTTGTGCGAATAATAATTATGGACGTGATTTTTTCGTGGATGTTTATAATCATCTTTCCTATATTGGAACCCGTCCTAATCCTCCTAAACATGTTCTTCTTACAGGTCATTCATTAGGTGGAGCTGTGGCATCTATTATTGGAAGTCAAATGGGTATTAAAGCTGTTGGTTTTAGTGCCCCTGGTATTGCACTTTCACGAAAAAAGTATAATATTGATCTTTGGCGTATTCATAAGTACGTGGTAACTGTTATCTCTTCTCATGATATAGTTCCTATGATTGGTGGAAGTGGTGGAGAGGAACATCATGTTGAGTGTTTAGCAAAGACACGGGAACTTTGTCATGCTGTGGAATTTCTTGTTGGGACTCTGTGGAGATCCTGTGAATCTATTCGTTCACGTTATCCCTTAATTAAGGCCGTTACATAAGATATATATATATATACATGTACAAAAGTATAGGGTGAATTTCACTAAGATGGAAAAAGAATAAAAGTAATGAAAATGTTTCAAGTTGAAATAATATTAATAACTATGTTTTCTATATATATATATATATTGCGACCTTCTTTTTTTAGGCTTTCGTGGGAGGGGGAAAATTAAAAATAAAATAAAAATAAAAATTGCCTGAAATAGTCTCATGTCTTAATATTTCCCGTTTTTACCCATTATTGTTATTACTGTTGTTTTTTTGTTCTTCTTTGTTTGAAACAGTAACAATGAAAAAGAAAAGAAATCTATCTTTATTTTTTTTTTTTATTCTTTCTCTCTCTCTCTCTCTCTCTCTCACTCAAGAAAATAAAAAAAGAAAGGAAATATACAAAAGATAAAAAAAAAAAAGAAAAAATGGTTTCCTCAGGAAAGTGGCTTTTAGAACGTAGCGATGGTTTTGTTGTAGAAATTAAAGACCCTGATGTCTCTGTTTTCTTTGGAAGGGATAAAAAACTCCCACAGTCGCAGCGGATAGATGATAAATATATTTCACGACATCATTTTGTAGTAGAATTGAAACCACCTTCTTTATTTATTAGGCAACTTGGAAAAAACCCGACATTTTATTCAAAAGAATTCTTGCAGTTGCCACCTAGTTCTGATACAAAGAATAAAAACTTGGAATTTCGTCCTTCTTGTGATAATCTTGAAAAGGTTGATAATGTTGTGGTAAGTGAAAATAATATTGTTTTAGTTCCTTGTGAAGTTAAAGGAGAATCTAAGTCTCTTACTGGTGGTAAAGAGAAGAAATTGGAACCGTGTACACTTCATTTTCCTGAAGAATTAAGACTTCCTGAATTTACTGTACGATATATTGTTTCAAATTTAAACAAAAATGAAGAGACAACTCCTAAAGCTATACCAATTGTTCCTCTTAATTATCACAATAATAGTGAAGATGAGGATGAGGATGAAAAAGAAAGTGGAGAAAAACTAGCAGCTGCTCGTAGTTGTCGTGGAATATTAGACGCCGTTCTGCATGAACAAGAGCAAAAGGAAAAGGAAAAGGAAAATTTAGAAAAGAATCAGAAAGAAGAAGGTGGTGATCATAATAATAATGATAATAATAATAATCAAAATAATGGGGAAGAAGGGATAGAAAGGGAGAAGAAAATCCCACGTATGGAATAGGTGTAAGAGTTTTTTTTTTTTTTTTTTTTTTTTTTTTTTTTCCCCTCTATACTTTACCTAATTTTTGTTAAAATTGGGTAGTTGAAAAGGAGGGATATAAAAATCTCCTTTATTTCTTTTAGAGTTATTGGTGGAAATTTATATTTTAACAAAAATAATAAATTATTGGTCTTGCTCTTTTCGTTTACGACAGAGCGAGCGTGGCGCAGTCGGCAGCGCGTGGGTTTCATAATCCCAAGGTCGTGAGTTCGAGCCTCACCGATCGCATTCCTTTTCTTTCTCCCAGAAATTTCATAATCATAATCATAAAGTTTCTTACTCTTACATTATGCGGTGAGAAATTTTTGTGTGTGTGTATGGCACTTTTGGTTCGTTGCGCCATTATTTACCTGTTCATGATGACTCACTAATAATAATTGAAAAAAAAAAAAAAGTCTTGGCAAACTCCTGGTCTTCATTTACTCTTTCTTTCTCTTTCTCTGTATACTTTTTTTTTAGTTAGTGCTTTTTTCTGTGTGTGTGTGTGTTTCAAGAAGAACGTCATATAATATAGATATAAAAAACTCAGTTTTTTTTTTTTTTTGTGTGTGTGTGGATTCGCTTAAATCTTTTTTTTTTAAAAGGCACAGGTAGGAGGAAGAAGAAGAAAAAAAAAAGAGTATAAAGTAAATTTGCTTACAATGCCCGATTCACCCACTCCACAGTGTGTTCGTCGTTTACAAAAAGAATTATGTGAGTTATCTAAAGAACCGAGTTCATTTTGTGTAACTGCTCCTTCACGTCAAACTATTTTACGTTGGTATTTTATTCTTAATGGTCCACCTGGAACACCATATGAAGGAGGTCGGTACCTTGGTAAATTAAAGTTCCCTTCTAATTACCCATTAAAACCACCTGATATTTATTTACTTACACCTAATGGACGTTTTAAGACTGATACAAGTATTTGTCTTACTATGAGCAGTTATCATCCAGAAAATTGGACTCCACTTTGGGGAGTTCGTACTATTCTTACAGGTTTACTATCTTTTATGACGGATGAAGAAGAAACTACAGGTAGTGTAAATTGTACGGTAGCGCAACGCAAACTTTATGCTGCAGAAAGCCGTCGTTTTAATGTAGAACAAATGGTAATTTATAAAGAAACTTTTCCTGAAGAGTATGAAAAAGATTTAGATATTTTAAGAGGTAAACCTGAAGGAAAAGATGGAATTGAAGCAGGCGATAAAAATGGGAACATTGAAAATACCAATAATAATAACAGCACTAATGCAGAAATAGGAAGAAATATGGCACAACATGGCGGTGCAAGATGGAATGGTTTAGGTGCAGCTCTTGCAGCCCTTTTTGCCATGGCCATGGGAATTTTTTTCTTCAGGAGATAGGAAGAGAAAAGAGGAAAAGCGAATAAAGAAGAAGAGGAAGAAGAAGAAAGGAAAAGAAAAGAAAAAAAAATTAAAAAAATTTTTTTTTTTGTTTTGGTTTATGCATCATTAGTGTTGCAAAGTTTTTTTTTTTTCTTGCTGCATTTCTTTTTTTTTATTATTATTGTTATTATTTCCGGCTTGATTGGAGAGAGGGAAGGATGTTTCAGCCGAAAAGGAACCAACCGCGACCCCCCCCCCCCCC